AGAAAGAATACCATTGAGAAAAAATCTTTCTTTCCCAAGAATGGCTGTTAATAAGTGTGTCAAATTAGTTTCTTAACTAGGATGGACTTGCAATGTCATTCCCAATGGAACCTATTTAAAGATCCCTTTTATAATGGGCTCTGATTTTTGTCTGATGTATTCTAAAAAACGAATCTGTGCTTGTCTCATCTTTTAATTAAGAGACTCAAGTGGGGTGAGTGACAGGCAAAATTCAGGTTTCTTGTAGGGAGGTCTGCTGGTGTCATCCATAGCGAGTTGTACTGTTAACCTACAGGCAGCATGGCTCTGGCTGTTGGAATCCACCAGCTCTCTGGGAACAAAAGAGAGGCCTTGTTATACATAGCTTCAGAAACCTGCAAGAGGGTCAGCTATGAGCTCTTTCTGATTCCATAGCAGTAAGAGAGGGAAAGAGAGACTGAGAGAGGCAGAGGGAGAATGCCTGATCTCACATAATGCCTACTTACTTTAGGGAAAGCAAGATCTTTTGAACATAAACACTTGAGGGCAATGAAGGCTTCCTGGGTCACCTTCCAGTATTGTTAGCTATCATTGTGATATCTGGGAGGTGGGACTCTCTAGGGGATTTTAATTTTGTGTCGTTGCCCCCTTCCCTTTGTCGGCATTTAGCAAATTTTCTATAGTGAGTATGTAGTTCCACCTGTATCCAGGGGAAAACACCTAACCAATCCTTGTTTTCAAAACATGTCATTTGGGGTGAGCTCTGGTGGCCTAGTGGCAAGAAGCTGCACTGCAATCCTAGAAGTACGAGGTTCGAATCCACCAGATGCTCTGCTGGAGAAGGAGGGACAATCTCCTCCTGTACCAGTCAGATCTGATTTGACGGTACACACACACAAAATAATAAAAATAAAATGAAATAAAAACATGTCATTTGTTCTAGTCTGAGCTTCGACTGGGAGTGTAAAGAGTATGTACTGAGAGGCGGATGATACGCCTTCTCTTCTATGTAACCCAAGCCAGAAGGAGGTAGTGAGTAAAAAGAGATGTAAAAAGAAATGTAAACTGCAGACCTTCATGTTGTTGTTATTAGGGGCCACTGAGTCAGTTTTGACTCATAACAGTAGCATGTGACAGAGTAGAATTACTCCCCTAGGTTGTAATTTTTAAGGGAGTAGATTGCTCAGATAGATATTGTCGCTTAAACCATATGTTCAGTCTCCTCTTAAAAACAGTTTCTGCTTGTCCAGAGCTCTGGGGGGATGCAAGTCCTCTTATCTAGAAGCCCTCTCTTTATTCCAATCTCATTTGTCCTTTCTCTCTTGGTATCTTTAAAAGGCTTTCAAAGGTGTGGTGCAATAGTTTATTGTTCAAAAAGGCTTTCCTAGGGCTGCACAGGAAGGTGCAAATGGAGTGTGTTAATCTATCCATGAGGGGACTGGCCAGCTTGGCCATTCCACCAGATTTCAATTGAGCAGGATCGGCAGTAGAATTGGAAATTTCACTAATGGCAGAGAAGCAGCAGAGAATGCAGTATGTACTCTTTGTAGCCAGAGATTCCTGAGTCAATCAGACCAGGACCTACAGGAGAGCACCAAGGGTCACAACAGAGAACCAGAGACTGGCATGAGACAGAGCTGGCTTGGGACTGCTGCCCCATGGAGCCAGAGCTTGCTGGGGACTGGGGTGGGGAGAAGCCATAACTGACAGGACTAAGAGAGCTTTGTAACACTGGCCTAAAGCTACCAGGCTGAAGGCTCAAGGGTTTGTTAGCACACTGACAAGAGAAGTGGGATCCTGCTGCCAATCTGAGTTGTAACTTGTTAACTTCCCTAATTAATTTCATAGCCATAAATATGGTTCTGTGAGGTCTGTAGTTATTAGCATAGGTGTGGAGACTATGTCTGACTTAATGGGAATTGGTTTTTTGTTAAGGATGTTTTTGATGGGGTTAGTTCCACCTTGTGAAGTTAGGAAAGGTCAGATGCGACCATCCTCCCACTGCCCACATTCTTTTTAAAAAAGGAAACAGTGAGGACTCAGGAAAATTGTCCAGCACTTTTCAAGAGCCCCGAATTTCCAAGCCTGATTGATCCTCAAACATGTTTTTGTTTATGCGACAAATTACTTACCATTTTGTACCATCATAGGATGGAGACTGGGGCACAGGATTCCTCTCTCTGCTTCTTCTTTCAGAGACCTCTCTAGTTTGTGAAACCAGAGTGATTTATTCACATTGAAATGACTACCAAGGTTCCTGATGGCTGGACAAACAACAGAACTAGTAATTCCTATTTTCCAGTGATTACAGTTATTGTGCTTAAGAAGAAACTCCTCCCTTCCTGCCCTTACCAGCTCTTAGCCCCCTCCCACTCCCATCACTGCCTTCACTATTTTTATAAGTCAAAAGAATCTCTTAAAATGGAATTTCCTTCCTTTTATTAAAAATAAACACTTACTCCAAAGTCCCTAAGTGACCGGTTTTTCCTTACTAACTTTTCAACAATAATCTGGTATCGTGCATTACATGTCTGGATACTAACCGGAACATCCGCAGTAAAAATTCACCATGTGGGCAACAGATGGGAAATATCCTTCTATAAGGATTTGGTGGTGGTGGTGTTACCTGCTTTTGAGTTGACAGCTACTCAATTTCATCTTACTCAGATCCACAACCAACATGTTTGGCACCAGCAATCAGGAAATCATAAGATAAAATATATCAGGAAAGTCTGCAGTAAGGGAACTTTCTAGAGTGCTAAAGAGCAATGAAGTCAGTCTAGAGATGAAGGTGCAGCTGATCAGGGCTATAGTCTTCATAATTAATTGCTATGCATCTAAGAGTTGGACAATGATTAAGGATGACAGTAGAAGAATCAACGCCTTTGAGTTGTGGAGCTGGAGAAGAGTATTGAACATACCATGGACTGCCAAGAGAATAAACAAGTCTGTCCCAGAGTGTGAAACCAAGTTACAGTTCATCTCTGATAGCTACTAGAAGCTTAAAATCAAGACATAACTATATATTTCATCTTTCTGTATTGCATATATACAGAAAGAAGTATAATTATATGAAGAAGACTATTATAATCTCATACCTGAAAACTGTTTTCCCCCTCTAAATTATCTAATTTGATAATATTGTCCTATTTTTCTCTCCTCTGGAAGGAACTGGAAAACAGAGGAATGTGTATAAGTATATTGACTGGGGGACCAACACCCAAACCAAGTCCACTGCCACGGAATCATTGATTCATAGTGTCCCTATAGGACTGAACACAATTGTCCCACAGGGTTTCCAAGACTGTAAAGCATTATGAAAGCAGACTGCCATATTTCCCCCCCAATACTCAGTGTGAACCCTCAGGAAAAGAAAAGGAATTAAGAGGGCAAGGAGGAAAAAAACAGTCAAGGTATAAAAAAAAATTTTTTTTACTGGTTTTTAAAATGGGAGGCTAAGAAGAGAGAGAGGGCTTTTGAGGATTTGTGCTCAACCAGTTCATCAGCATTTCTAAACCCCAGACATAAACGCAAACAAGACAATTCTGAGTGGTGAATGTGGAGTGAGTGTGGGGAAGAGAACGGCAAAGCCGGAATATTCAGTCCCTCATGGGGTTTATACTATTTTTGGTTGGCAGTGCAAAACGCTATGGACTATCCCATCAGAGCTCTTTGAGGCTTATTATTTGTATTCTTGTCCTTCTGCGTTCATAGGGCGGGTCTCAACTCTTAGGCTGCTTTCGAGGCTGAAGTGGATGGTGCAGTTCAGGGGCGAGGATTTCCTTCTGCTGTACAAATTGGGTCTCTGAGTCTGTTGCAAGGGCACTTTACAACAAGGTGGGTAAAAAGTGGGAAATGTTAGGGACTAGTTCATGCCTGAAGGAAGAGGATGAAAAGACCAAAATCATGGTATTTGTGGTGCAAGAAGGGTGACTGATTCCCCACTAAACCCCCATTTATCCAAGTCCCGCCTCTCTCCTCTCTATTCCTAGATGAGGCAGCACTTGAAGAATGCCTGAGTCACCTGCAGTGGAGAGAAGAGGTTTTGGGAGTGTCTTCCGCCTCATTTGCAGGGTTAGACGAGAACACCAGGAAATGATCCTGAACTTGGGTGTTGTGTCATTCCCCACACGTGATGCACTCTCAGGCGGTGAAAACCTCGCACACTAAGAGACTTATTTACTCCAGTGAATCCACCCCTTTACTCAACTTTCCACTTCCCAGCTCCTCCCCACTTCAAAGCACGGGAAGTAGGTTGCTGGCGGCAGGAAATGCCACTCTCCGTAGCTGGCAGTGCGAAGGAAAGAGAATCAGTGTTTGAGAAAGGGGAGAACGTAGCATTACAGCTTTTCTCCTTCAGAATGTTTTACACTTACTGTTTTATATTTTCCTTAAGTCTCTGTCCCACAACAGTTTTATCCTGTTGGAAACCACTCATTCCTCCGACTATGCCCTAGTTCGGATCGCTTTCCCTTTTTCTGTTTCCTACTTTTCTCTGATCCCAGAATTCTTAATTAGAAGAACTGGTTTGAGCCCACACACGGCCTCGTTCCGGTTCTAGCTGAGTGACCTTGAGTGAACCACAACTTTTCTGGGCCTAATTTCCTCGTCTCTCAACCGGGCCTGTCTGGAGGCTCAAACGAGATGGCGCTTTGAGAACTGAAAAAAAGCACTAGAATATTAGGTCTGTTCATTCTGGACGGCGAGTCACTTTTCCAGAACCCCTCCCTTTCCTTTGGGACCCACCCTGCAAATCCCGCCTTGCGCTGACAGGTCTCCCTACCCTTCGCTCCCGCTCTCTCCCATTGGCGAGCTCAGGATCCGCACGACGCCGGATGTTGACGCCACGGCTTCTTCCTACCGCCGGCGCACAATGACGTCACCGCCCCGCCCCCAGCCGCGCCTGGCCTCCCGCGAGGCCCCGCCCCTCGGCTTGACGCGACTCGAGTACCGCCCAGCGGGTGACGTGTGGCGCTCGCGGCCCGGCCGCTCCGGCAGTTGGTGCAGCGGCGGTTGGGGTGAGTGCGCTCACCCCACCCCTCCCCTCCTCCGGCCCCGGCCCCCACCCACCGGGCCCAGCCCCAGCCCCAGCCCCAGCTCCCGGCGGGCCCGTCCCGTGCGGGCCCGTGCCGCCCCTTGAGCCGGCGACGCCCCAGCTTGCCCACCCGCCACCATGGAGCTGGAGGACGGTGTGGTGTACCAAGAGGAGCCCGGCGGCTCCGGGGCCGTGATGTCGGAGCGGGTGTCCGGCCTGGCTGGCTCCATCTACCGCGAGTTCGAGCGGCTCATCGGGCGCTATGATGAGGAGGTGGTCAAGGAGCTCATGCCACTGGTAGTGGCCGTGCTGGAGAATCTGGACTCGGTGTTCGCGCAGGACCAGGAGCACCAGGTGGAGCTGGAGCTGCTGCGGGACGACAACGAGCAGCTCATCACCCAGTACGAGCGGGAGAAGGCGCTGCGCAAGCACGCCGAGGAGGTGAGGGTCAGCCGGCCGCAGGGGCGGGGGCCGCGGGCTGGGCGGCCGGGCGGGCTGGGGGGCCGGGCCGGAGGGCGGGCCGGGGTCTTGGGTCGTGGCTGGGCCCGGGAACCGAGGCGCCCTTGGGCCTCCTGGATATCGGGCCTGAGGCCGAGGCCCCCCGGGACCGAGCCTGGTGGCCGTGATGAACCCCAAAACCGCGGGCTGAGGTTGGAAACTGAGGCAAGGTAGTTAGGTGCTGGGGAAGGGAGCGAGGTGGGGGTTCGTTCGCAAGGCCCGAGGAGAAAGCAACAGTCTGGCAGGAGGGCACCTGGGGTTGGCCTGGGTCCGGGCTTTGACTGTGTCTGGCGCGTGTCTGGTTTGCCTCTTGTTGTTTAGGGAAGTTTCAGACCACTGCGGGATAGTCAGATAGCGGTTCAAACTTTTACCATGGGGGTGGGGGTGGTGGGAGCGCTGGTGGCAGGCAAACACTTCTGTCCTGGACTTGGAACTTCCGCTGGTTCCAGTACCTTTCCAGCCCGTGGCTGATTTGGGAAGTTAGAGATCTCCCTCTTTCGGTCAGTTTCTTCTTGACGTTTCAATCTTGTTAGGAAAGAAGTCTTATTTCTTGTTTGATGTGTCTGTGGTTGACATATTGTCCGCACTTAGACGTGGTGTGGCAGGACTCTACAGATAGAGAACATGCAATTTTATTTTCTTGGTGTCCCAAAGCACAGCATTCCTCTGTATCAGGTGATAACCTTGGACAGTTCCCTTTAAAAACTATTTATAAAGAGAAGGGAGGCGGGCTTGAGGTGTTAGTGGGTGGCTGCTGGCAACCCTTTTCCCCTTCTGGTTTTGAGTTTGTTTTTTTTTATTATTATTATTTTCTGTGTGTGTGTGTGTGTGTGTACCGTCAGATTGGATCTGACTGGTACACGAGGAGATGGCCCCTCCTTCTCCGGCAGAGCTTCTGGTCCTTTTCCCCTTCTGAGTTTCTCAGCTGGAGAATACAGGTGAGCGTGACCAGTTGCTACTTACCACCTCAGCAGTGTCCTCACCTCCAATCTCTGCACCTTTTGGAGCTCCTGAACAAGAAGAGTCTTTTAACTTCTTGAGAGAGCCAAGGATTTTAACTGTTAGGCTGCGTTGGCATCATTTCTGTTGAACTTTCCTAAGGCTGGTAAAGTGTCCTGTTCATCATTGTTTTTCCAGTAGTTAGCACAGGTGGCTAAAATACCTGGTTATTGAGGAAACAAAATAATTATTAAAGGAACAGCATCCTAGTTTTAAAAGATATCTGGGAAAGTTGTTTTTCCTTGTTTCTTTGGAGCATGGTTTGCTAAGGAAATAATTTCCAAACTTCTAAGCCTTAATTACTCTTTTCTTTTTTCTTTATCACGTGTACCTTTGCACCAGATCAAATAGTTCTTTTCCTTTCTTTTGTGAAGCTTGTCCATAGTGATGCTCTTCCGCTTTTATTTTGTGAGTCATTTGTCTCAAAGAGTGCCATTGCTTTTATCAAACAAAATTCATTTTAAGAGTATTTGCAAGTACATAGGGAAAGAGGGATTGAAAAATAAAGATGGGTTCACAATTCCCACTAGATTATTCACACTGCTTCTAGAGAAGAGGTCAAACACTGTTTTTGAAATGCCATGCCACCTTCTGTGGGCTCACACAGGGCTTGGCCAATAGGTGGATGTACATGGAAGAGCTTGAATTAACTATGGTGGGCAGGTCCAGCATGACCTTTTAGCTTGGGTAAAAGAATTGCTCACTCTAACCTCAACTCTCCTGTCAATCCATGAAAACAGTGGCACAATGCCAAAGGTCACAGGTAAAAGGAAAACATCTGCCACCAGTTGCAGAATCAGAAAACTGACCAATAGCTGGGCACTGGATTGTACATTAATTTCTTAAGTAAATAATAACTCTTTAAGAATAGCTTATCTAGGGACTTTGTAGTTTATACTTTTTTCCCCCCCTCAGATTCATCTCTCTATAATGAAATCTTTGGGCAAAGGCCAGTGACCTGAAAATGGAGAACCTTAATGAAATGCTACATGAGCCAATTACCCAGACCACAAACATAAAACCACCTCTTATCAGGCTTCATGTAAGACCATAAATCAAGCTTTGCCCAGTACCCTGAAATTTAGCCTCTCATAGGCCAGTCTGAAAAGTGAGGTCTCTGTTTCACTTTCTGCAAGTGCTTGTAGCCTTTAATATGGAGACTAGAAGCCTGCTATTACAACAGAGGGAATTTGATAGAATGGGAATTTTTGATCATCAGGAACTATAAATTCTGAGCACTAATGTGAAATTTAGAGGATTTATAAATGGTAAGTCAAAAAGCGAGCCTCACGAGGTGCATTGACACAGTGACTGCAGCAGTGAGTGAGCTTCAGAACAGCAGAGATTCTGAGGCCGGCACAGGATCAGGCATCTGGTATTAGAGATGACTTGATTGTACCTACAATAATGAAAGTGGTGAGAATGTCTTCGAAGTGTATGAAGCTGCTATAATATATGGTTACTTTCTCCCTCTTTTTTGAGGGGACTGCTATAATCTATTATTACGAAGGAGGGAAAAAAAGGTCATCTTTAATATGGTGATACAACTTAATTTGAATACCTTTTGTCTTTTCCTTTTATTTGAGTGTATGTGTGTGTGCATGTGAAAGAGATAAGAGATATTAGTGATCCTTAAAAGCAAAAAGCAAGCAGAGAGTGCTGATTTTAGATGGGCTCATAACCAATTTCAAATGAATTAAGAATTCCATCACTATCTATCATTCTTACCTGCTGGTTTACACTCCAACTACCGCTGCCATTTTCCCTTGGCCCAGAATACTCTTCCCTCGGAGCTTTACCTGGTCATTCCCTCCTTTCTTCCCAGCTTTAATTTCACGTCTTCAGTGAAAGAGCCTTTGCTTTTTTGCTCTATGCAAGCTAAGCCCTGTAATTGTACTGAGTAATTAATTTGTGAATCAGTGACTTTGAGAGGAGCATGGCTGAAAAGGGAATCCTTCGCTAGGGATAAGATTTTTGTAATATAGTTTTGCATCTGCATCTTTTATGTAATATTTGATTTGAAAAATTGGAGTGATTGAATGTAGAGGTGAGAGAGAACTGAGAATTTTCTAATCCCCCCCCCCCCCAGCAAACGAGGGCATAGAGCAGTAACAAAATCATTATATGAAGATGCTAATCAGGTTGTTTTCATTGGAAGTATATAAACATGGAGTGAAAAGACAGGTGGGCAGGAACACAGACATTGTGCTTCTCACTGATATTATACTTCTTACTCATTCATAAAAATGTTTTAATCAAAATGAGGTTAGTTTTGATTCATTTGTGAAGTAATTTATAGCGACTATTGAATTTGCCTCTTTAAAGATATGAAAGTCTTGAGTTTTATGGCTTATTGGAGGTGAATTTTTTCTATGTAAAGCTTAAAACTCTTGATGGTGACTATGAAAGACTTAGGAAAACTCAAAAAATTCTTGCCATTGAGGTGGAACCAACTCCCAGCTAACCCTCTAGCAGGTTTTCTGAGGCAGTTAATCGCACTGAAGGAGACCAGCTATCTTTTTCCCACAGAGCAGGTAGTGGATTCCAGAAAGGCATGTCCTCTGGGTTAGCAGCAGAGTGCTCAAGAACTGCGCTACTAGAGCTCCCTGTGGACTCAGGACCTTAAAAACCAGAAATCCCCCTTTTGCTTCAACGGTGTTTATTTCGTGCTCTAAGTAGTCTTAATCTGTTATTACTTAAAATTCATAATTGTGATGCGTTTTTCAGAGTTCTAGTACGGCCCTGCATGGCACAGCATATAATGTGCCTGCCTGGCTAATAACTACAGGGTTGCTACAAGTCGGAATTGAATGACTAAGCAAGAGGACAGTTAGTTTTTTATGGTGCTGAACAAGTTTTAGCAAAGTTTCTACAGTCATATGAACTGAGAAGAAAGGATTGATGATCTGTTTCCAAAAATCTTCCAGTGTTTGTGAGCAGAGAATAATTCAGTAAGAATCCTGTGGATCATACTGGTCAGATCCACGGTTGGTCAGGGGAATTGTGTAGGACCTGGCAGTGTCTTGTTAATGAGTGCATGGGGTCACCACGAGACTGCAGCGAACATCAGGTTTCATTTCACTGAAATAGAGCAGCAGGTGGAGGGACTGTTCAGTTGTTTGCACAGAAGTAGCAGAGAAACAGGTCGATTTTTCAGTACAGAAGAGTATGTTGTTAAGAAGCGCTGGTGGCCTAATGGCAAGAAGCTGTGCTGCATGGGTTCGAATCTACCAGATACTCCGCTGGAGAAGGGCAATCTCCTGTGCCATTCAGATCCGAATTCAATGGTACACACCAAGAAGGAAGGCATACTTGTAGACCTTGCCTAACTCCGCTCATGACTAGACAAGGGGGACACTGTATGCAAGAGTGATTGGGAGTTTATGCCGGCTCTAGCCAACTTTTATCAGTGGCTGGATAAACTGCAGTAGTCCAACATTTTCCTGTTTAAAAAAAAAATGTTGTTAATCGATGGTATGTTAGCATTTGATACTCTACATATTTATATATACATGGTGTATTTTAAAGTTTTCAAACTGGTTTTAAAAGCAGTGCCCCTTTGGAATCTTTTCAGTGACTTAGGAAACTGATGCCTGTGATTGGACTAAAGGATTTTGGTCTAAGAACAGACTGAGGTGCTGACTTAATTCCTCTGACCGGAGAAAGCAAGGGTCAGCAACCTTTTAGAATTATGTCTTATGAAAATATTGACAATTTTAAGGTGCTCAAAGTACATTTTATTGTTTCAGTGATCTCTGTATTTATCAAAACTATTTTATATACCTATTTGTACATTTATTTTTGTACCTTAAAACATAACATTTTAAAAAGTGTGTGTTTTCATATTTTTAAATAATGCCGTTGCTTTTCTTTTTTCCTTACTAACTCTTTTTGAACACGTTTTACACTGCCCATTGTGCCATTATTAAACCAGGTATGCCTTA